CACCGGAACCATTCCATGACTCCCTAAATTACTGTCCCACCCCCCCTCCCCCGGCTCCATCCGGGCATCTCCCGCCTCCCCGCCCGCCAAAACCTTCCCCGCCTGGCCACGCCCCTTCACATGACCACGCCCCTTCACATGACCACGCCCATCGCCCCCTTTTAACACGCCCCTTCCCTCCTCCGACCAATCAGCGAGCCGGAGCTCACCCGACGTCCCCGCCCCCTCCCTGCCCTCGGCCAATCGCGGCGCGGGCCAAAGGGGGCGGTCCCCACGCGTGTGCGCGCGCGCGCGCGAGAGAGAGTCCCTGGCGACCGGGGCGGCCGCGGGGCCACCGCGCTGGGGACCGGGGACACCGGGACACACCCGCCCATGGAGCCGGCACGGGACGGGGAGCAGCAAGAGGAGGAAGAAGCAGAAGAAGCAGCAGTAGCAGCAGCAGAGGAGGAGCGGGTTCCGGTGGGTACGGCTTTGGGGGGAGCAGCTGCCACCCGGCCTGAGTTGGGGGTTGGGGGTGCGACAGGCTGGGTCACGCTCGTGACCGCTGAACGCACCGTCTACCCCACGAAGGGGCTTTTGGTGGGTCGCTGTTCCACGCCAGAGGAACTGCAGCGCAAGGAGGGGGACGCGGCTGAGCTGAGCCCACCCTGCTCCTCCCGCGCTCCAAGGAGGGGAGATGTGACTGGGCTGGTCCTTCCGTGCCCTGCGCTCTCCCCTGGGAGAAGGGCGGACCCTCCTCCCCTCCTGGGAAAAGGGCGAGTGTGTTCTGTTATTGCCCTAGTTACGGTTTAATAACTTTAAATTCTCGGTTGTTCTCTTCCCTTTGTTGTGCCCCGGGGAGGGGTGGGTGTTGCTGGCTGGGTCACTGACCCTGCTGGGAATGCGGGGACAGAGGGGCTGGAATCGTGGAATAGTTTAGGTTGGAGAGACCTTAAACCCATCCAACCCCACCCTCTGCCCACGGCAGGGACACCTTCCACTATCCCAGATTGCTCCATCCTGGTCTTGGACACTTCCAGGAGTGCAGCAGCCACGACTTCCCTGGGAATTCCATTCCAATCCCTCGCCACTCTCGCAGGGAAGAATTTATTCCTAACATCCAATCTGAATCTGTCCACTTTAAATTTAACTGTTTTCCTCTTTGCCCTGTGTAAAAAGTTGCTGCTTCCCTTATTTTTTTAAGCCTCCTTCAAGTAGTGGAAGGTGCTGGACTAGTGGAAGGTGCTGGACTAGTGGAAGGTGCTGGACTAGTGGAAGGTGCTGGAGGTCTCCCTGAAGCTTTTTCTTCTCCAGGCTGAGCTGGAGTGTCCCCATGGAGCCTCTCATTCCCTGGAAAGGCTCACACACAGCCCTGTGCACTTTGCTGTGGTTCACATCAGCGCTGGAGACAGGGGAGAGATCTCAGGAGATCGTGTCCCATCACATCCTGCCACCCCCATGCTCTGGATTCCTGCAGTTTCCTCTTGGGACAGCACTGGGAAGATCCTTCCCGTGGGAGTTGCACTTCCCTGGCACCCGGGGTTGTGTCCTGCTGTTCCCGGGGTGGCTTCCAGAGGTGTGAAGGGCTTGGAGCACCTGCCCAGGCTCTGAGTGTTGCAGAGTGCTGGGAGGTTCCTCTGTGCCCTCGAACAGCCCTGGTTGGGCACTGGGGGCTGGAGGTGTTTGTGGATGCGTCACATCCATCGTTCTGTGCCAGGGAAGGTACAAGGGGACAACCCCAAAATGCAGAGGGATGGTTTCAGAGCATCATCCCAGAGCTCAGAAGGGACTCGGAGGTTCAGCAGCCACATGGTGACCAGTGGTGGGTGCCACATCAGCTGTTGGAAACATTCCCTGGGAAGAGCCATGGACTGGGAGAGGTTAATTTTCCTACCAGGGAAAATGGCAAGGGGTGAAACAAAGAGTGGAAAAGGCCATGGGAATAAATACGATGTGTTAAAGGCAAGTCTGACTTCAGGGATCGTGGGAATTGAGTGCTGTCTTAATTCAACTTCCAAAAACCTGCAGAAGGACTTTTCCCTGTGTATTTTCAGGAAGGATAATTTGCCCCAGGACAGCAGGGATGGCTCTTGCTCTAATGCTTATTCTTCTATGTGTTTAAATAGAAATGAAGTTCCTTTAAGTGCTGCTTTACAGACAGATTTCAACGTCATGATCCTAAGCTGGGTGTGATGTTATAAACCAGTGGATTTACCTCCTGCTGCTTGTTTTGTTCATCACAGGTCAGGTGGTTTTGCTCCTTTTTGGGTGTCAGGTTCTGTTGTGGGGTTTTTTCTGTTTTTTGGAGGCTGTTGCTTCCTTCTCTGAGTTTGTTTTGCTCTGGGGTTCAAGTGCTGCTCTGACAACCTGAGCTCAGCTCTGGGAATTCCAGGTGGGAGCTGAGCCAAGCTCGTTCTTCCCTGACTGCTCCTCTGGGTGCAGGAGCAGTCTAACCCAGAAGAATCTTCTGCCTGTTTAAATATTTCAAGTTTTATCAGTGAAAACACTTCACCTGTTCCCCATTTCAGTTTAGTTTTGATGATGGGGATGATTTAATCCAAGTTTTTGACTCTACATTGAGGTAAACATAAACATTACAGATCAGATCCAGGAGGATCAAGCTTTGGGATTTCATTTTTAAGTGCTGCAAATTGGTGGCATCATTCCAGAGTGTTCATTATTCCTGGGAAATTTTGCTTGTTCTAATTGGAAATTAAGCTTGGTTAAGGCTCCCTTTCCCAGGAGAGCTTGGACCAGGTGATTTTTGGAAGTCCCTGTTCTTTGAAAGGCGCAATAAGTAGTTGAGAGTTAACAGAAAGATCTTGAATCGCAAAGATTTAATGTGGAAAATTCCAATGGTGATCTAATGAGAAAAGATAAAGGAATGAGCATTTTCTTAACTACAAGCTGTGTGATACAGATTGTGTGATTTTAAAATAGAATAAATTACAAATGAGGGGGTACCCAGAGCTTTCTAAATGCTCCAAAGCTGAGAATGTGAAGAAGTAGTTGAGCTTCTGGTTGTATAAAACAATTCAGGAGCTCTGTTAAATGATCATATTGTGGGGGGGGGATTTGGCCAGCGAGGATTTAAGGGATTTTTGCACAGCAATGAAAATCAAATGGGCGAAACTAAATCCTTGGAAATGGCTGCAAATTGAAGGGGTGATCCTGAACACCCTGATCCACTTTGGAGTTAGTCCTGCTTCCAGCAGGAGCTTGGACCAGATGGCCTCCAGAGGTGCCTGGAAACCTCAGGTATTCTGTGATTACCTGACTAAAACTTGTGCTTTAGGGATTAAGGTGCATTACAAGGATCAGCTTCCTGTTCCCTGGCTGTGAACAGGGAATTCTGTCCACCTTTCTTTCCTAGGAAACCCAGGCAGCTTTGCTAATTCCCACTTATTTTGGGCTGTTCCATAAGTCTGTTGATGTTACAAACTCAACAGTTGAAACTTAAATATGTCAGACAATCACAATGATGTACTGACCAGCCAGTGTCAATGAATGTTGTGTAAAAATCCAGCTTCGCCTTCCTTGGAATGTTTTCAGCCCATCCCTGGCAGTTTGTTGTGTTATTGATTCAAAAGCCCAATAATTGTTGCACCAAATAAACCAGGTCAGAATTTACCTGATCTGCTGGTTGGAGGTGCCTTAGTGCCAGGAGGGGATGGTTTGGGTCTGGGAAATACTGGGGTTTTTTACTGAAAAAAAACCAAGGTACAGCTTAAATAGAATCACAGAATCAGGTGGGTTGGGGGAGACCTCCGAGACCATCCAGTCCAACCCTTGATCCAACCCCACCGTGGTTCCCAGCCCATGGCACTGATGGCACATCCAGCCTGTCCTTAAACATCTCCAGGGATGGGGAATCCACCCCCTCCCTGGGCAGCCCATTCCAATGGCTGAGCACTCTCTCTGGAAAGAATTTCTTCTTGATGTCCAACCTAAACCTCCCCTGGCACAGCTGGAGGCTGAACCCTCTTGTCCTACTGCTGCTTCCTGGGAGAAGAGACCAACCCCAACCTGGCTGGTTGGCCAACCTGGCCACACTCTTCCTGATCCAGACCAGGATCCATTGGCCCCCTGGGCACACTCTGGCTCATGTTCAGCTTCTTGTCCATCCCAAATCCCAGCTCCCTTCCTGCCTGGCTGCTCTCCAGCCACTCTGTCCCAGCCCTGGGGCTGCCGGGGCTTGTTGTGGCCAAAGGGCAGGACCTGCACTTGGCCTGGTTGAACCTCATCCCCTTGGGATCAGCCCATGGATCCAGCTTGTCCAAGTCCCTCTGCAGAGCCCTCCTGCCTTCCAGGTGATCAACACCCCCCCC